AGCTGTACAAGCTCTGATAAATATGGTGGTGCCAAACCATTTACACATTTAAAAACAATTAATAAGACTTTAAAATGGATCCTAAATTTGATGGGAAGGACAGAAGTAATGTGCTCATGCCTTTTCTTTCCAGTCAGCAAGCGGGCATGAGGCATTGATGAGGGGCTGGACCACAGCATGTTTTAAGGCAGCTGGAGCACAGCAAGTCTTCAAAGATGAATTTATCAGATCCATAACACAGGGGCCAATAGTATGGAAAACCTCCTTAAAAAGGCGGGGTGCGATGGTGTCAAAAGGACAATAGGAAGGTCTGAGATGCTGGATAATATCAGTTAAAACTGAGAGGGACACTTGCTCAAAAGTCTCAAACACAACAGGGCAAATAGGAGGAACAGCAGGATCTGATGCAGACGGGACAATAGAGGGCCTAATATCAGAGATCTTATCAATAAAAAATTTCAGGAAATCTTCACACAGGAACAAGGAACAAGGTGAAGGAACAATAGCACTGTGATCACAGGGGTTTAAAAGATTGTTCAAAGTATTAAAGAGGAACTGAGGTTTATGGCTACTGGCTTAGATAGGAACTGACTTTATGCAGCTTGAACAGCTTTTTGACATGCCAAGAGACTCTCTTTTAAGATGTTTAAAGAAACTTGAAGATGATCTTTTTTCCACTTCCTCTCCACAGGTCTGCATATGCGTCTTAAGGTGCAAGTGGTGTCAAAAAGCCCTGGCTTTCCTACTTGTTTAGAGCGTTTGCACCTGAGGGGAGCCACTGACTCTAATATATCAATACAAGTGCCATTAAAAATTATCTAAGAACTCATCAGGGTTAAGACTACAGTCATGATTCTGAAGTACAGAATTACAAAAAGCTGCAGAGAATTCAGAGGCAGTTGAAGGGTTAATGGTGTGCACATAGCAGTCCGAAGGGCACAATTTAACAGGAGAGTGAGGCAGCGTAAAGTTAAATAAAACTGCAAAGTGGTCAGAAACGTGTGTGTCAACAATCTCAGTGACAATCAACTCCAGACCAAATGACAATATAAGGTCCAGTGTGTTTCCCTTTTCATGAGTTGGCTCAGATACAGACTGGGTAATATTTAAAGAGTCAATGAGATTGAGAAAGTCTTGTACCAGGGGACGCAACTCGCAGCAAACGTGAATATTAAAGTCCCCAACAATTAAAAATCAGTCATAATTCATAGTTAGTCCTGCCATGAAGTCCGTGAAATCCTTTATAAAATTCTTATTGAACCGAGGCAGATGGTAGACCACAGCGCACAAGACAGGTGTATTGCAGTTTAAGATGACAGACTTCATCTCAAAGCTGGAGAAGGAGATCGACGGTGACAGTCTACATTGAAAGCTGGATTTAAAAACAGATGATACCCCTCCACCACATCTGGTGGTTCGGGGGTAGTTGAGATAGGCACAATCAGGAGGGATCAGTTCAGAGAACTGAATAGACTCACCGATCCATGTCTCTGAAACATAAAATCCAAATCATGGGAGGTGAAAAAGTCATTTAGGATAAAAGTCTTGTTTGTTAGTGATCTAACATTCAGGAGGGCCAGGCTAATGGTCGATTCCTCGCTGGTCTAGGCGGACATGCGGCGTAGCAGCCGAAGGTTTCTGAAATCCACACCGCCGCCGCGGACCCCGCGTCTGGGAGGAGGAACCTCCAACGGCAGGTGAAGGCAGCCAGCAGTCGGGCACGGAGGGACAACATGCTGGATCCAGTGAAGGTGGGCAGGCTGCCGGAGAAGCAGGTGTGATCCTCTGAGAAGATGGGGAGGATCAGTCCAGCCAATTGATGGCTTTAGGATTTTAAGTTTCACCAAAATATCTGCCCTCTTTCCGCGTCTTCACGAGCGCTTCCTCTGTAAAATTACAACCGAAGACCGCAGCAGGTGAGCTGGTACCGCTGCCAGGAGAGGAGGGAGACCTGAGGTTTGATCGCCCAAATAAATATCTAGCAGCGTTCTTTGACATGCTCCAATGTCAAGAAGTGTTTGTCAATCATAAACCAGCAAGACAGAGGAAACTTGGCACAGAAAACACAGTAGTGCAACAGCAAACAGACACAGTAGGACCGGTAGACGGCATGCCGCACACACTGACGCCATCTTGAAAACAGAGTTAAAGGTTTGCTAACCTAGCTTACGCTACTCCCTGTTTGTTTATGTTGGCAATAACATCGCTGTAGTTATGCTAACCTAGCATATCGTTAGCTAACAGCTTAAAGCCAGTCAGGAACTGCAGAAAAAACGTAAGTGTACCAAATATCTGAGAGTACAGAATGACCGTTCATCACTCTGTCAGCTTGTTACTGATGATATCAATGTTAATTCAAATGCTAGCGCTATGTTCTGATTATCCATGAATCTAATAGTGTAGATCAAATGAATGCAGAACTGTAACATTGGCTGGAAATCACAATATGGTGGAAATGAGCTGCTTGGTGGAGGCCTGCGCCCTCAGAGTGCTCTTCTAGTTAGCCATGTTTTACAAACTCGCCTCATTTATGAACAGCACATAAGCTCAAACTTGTCTGCATAATAGTAATACTTCTTTCATTTATTTGAAAAATATTCACTTTTTATATTTATCGCTGAACTTGGTTGTTTGCAGCAGTGTCTTGCTTTTTTATACTGGAAAAGTAATTCAGTTATATTTACAGCAAAACAATAAGCTGGAATTGTTCATACTGCACTTGTACTTTTATTTATTTTATTTTGTTGATTTGATATTGAGAACGATGCAGCAGTATTTCTGTTACATTTGTATACATTGTACATTTAATTTGATTTACTGAGCTGCTAACAGCTTTTTGGTTTAATACAATAAACAAATGTTTTGGATTAATTATGAGCAGGTTTCTTTTTTTTTACTTTTTCCCCTTAACTGAGAACCCAACCATACCGAACCGAACCATGACTTCTGTACCGAGGTACCTACTAAACCATGATTTTTGTGTACCGTTACAGCCCTAACGCTGATACACATTACCAAATAGAGACTTTTCCAAAGATTTGATGCCTCAAAGTCATTCTAATTCTGGAGTGACCTGTGAGCTACCTTCGCCTTTAAACTATGGTACACTGACAAGCATGCTTGGTAATAACAACAAGCTGTCGTAAATCAGATGTTTTGGTGCATCCGAATGTCATCAAGTAACCTATCATTTAGCTTAATTACATGACAGTATATGTGTGTGTGTGTATATATATATATATATATATATATATATAAATGCTATGTAAAAGGGGTTTTGTATGGGTCTTACCTTATCCTCCACAAAAGGCAACAGGATGAAACATGTTCATTTAAAACTTGACAGCTTGCACCTGAACTTACACAACTGTACCAAGTTGATGAAAGCGGAGGAGGTATGAGAAAAGGACAATTGATTTGGAGTGTACTTTTCAGAACCCCACAGATACCTTTTTCAGTCTGTGGCTGCAGCTTACTTTTTGGAGCATTTGCCCTGATGAATATGCCCCACCTGTTCACAAGGTTATGCAACACAGGGTGTAACACAGTGTGAAACAACATAAACTTGAAGCCATTCCTCCAAATACCGGTCCTGTACATGTGGAAATCCATGTTTAACATTTANAACACAGGGTGTAACACAGTGTGAAACAACATAAACTTGAAGCCATTCCTCCAAATACCGGTCCTGTACATGTGGAAATCCATGTTTAACATTTACCGTATTGACCCGAATATAGGACGACCCTGATTATAAGACGACCCCGTCTTTCCAGGACCAATTTTTAGGGGAAAAAAAGACTGATGACCCAAATTTACTTTGTTTAAAGAAACAATTTTATATTGAAGTGCTAAGAAATTCATTGAAATAATAATCACAGAGTGCTTTAATTTTTGGCAAAATATGCAAAGCTAAGGCAATCTGCATTGAAAGGTAATATCTATATGTAAGACGATTTGTGCAATTACGTAAACACTGAAAAAAAAACACTGTACTGACACATTTAGCTGAAATCTTGCAACACTCCAACTAGAATGCAATCAGAACTTTGCTCACATAATGTCTCATCAAAAGTCTGCATGAGGCTTTTACTCGTATACGTCCTCAGCCCCGCTGTGCTCGCTGTCACTCCCACTCTCAGCCTGCAGTCCCGTCTCCTCCCACAGAACATCATCCTCACTCCCATCCAATGCATTTGAGATGCAGCACTTTTTGAATCCACTGATGATGCTCTCTGATGTCACTTCATCCCACGCCTGGAGAATCCATTCACAAAGTTGGCGTACAGCTGGCTTTTGGATTTTTCCAGACGGTGTGAGCGCGTGGTCACCTGCCAGGAGCCACTCGGTGTACCTCTTGCGCAGATTATCCTTAAACGGCTTGTTAACCACCACATCCAACACCTGTAGCTGGCTCGTCATTCCTCCTGGTATGATGACTAAATCGCCATTCATCTTCCTCACCTGAGCTTTGACAGCGTTTGTCAGGTGTCCGCGAAAAGCATCCATAATGAGCATGTTTCTCTTGTTTTTTAGAGCCCCGCGCCGTCTTCCCCACACCACTTTAAGCCAGTCCACCACAAGTTCACTCTCCATCCAGCCCTTTTCCTGGGCACGTACAACAATGCCAGCTGGCATCACCTCTTTTGGCACCGTTTTGCATTTTAAAATCACATAAGGGGGCAACTTTGTCCCGTCTGCCAGGCACGCCAACATCACGGTGACCCGACTCTTTTCATTTCCAGTTGATTTCACAATCACAGACGTCTCGCCTTTTTTGTGCACGGTCACGGGCGTGGGCATGTCAAAAAACACAGGGGTTTGGTCGGCGTTCCCGATCTGATCAGGGGGGTATGAGTGTTTTTTCCTCAAGCCAATCACATAGCGCTGAAAAGACTGCAGCTTCTCTCCAAAGTCAGACGGCAGGTGCTGGGCCAGGCTGGTTCTGCACCGTAATGCGAGGCCGCTCCGGCGCATCATCCTCCTGCACCAGCCGATGCTGGCTTTAAACTCGGTGGCGGGTATGTTTAACTCCTTAGCGATGTCCAGAGCTTTCAGCCGGATGACGGCCCTGGTAATGGGCATGCCTTCGTTACGTTTCCCGATAACAAATTCACATACCCTCCTATCGATTTGTTGGAAACGGCCACTTTGAGGACCTCGATAAGCTTTTCTCTTGCTATTGGCATTTTTCAGACGGTCTTTTTGGACGCGCCATCTTCGGACATTACACTCCGTAACTCCGTATTTCTTGGCAGCCTAACAGTTATTTGATGCCTCTGCTTCGTTGACCACCATTATCTTAAAATTAGCGTCATAACTCTGCCTTAAAAGTCTGCAAACTTGTCCACTCCGTTCTGGCCCGCAACTCTCCATTTTTTCATCTCTTATCACTTCTTCTCTGCTGTGAAAGAAAGATGACCCCAGCCACAGTGAGGTCATTGGCTTTAAAAAAAAAACTGGCGCCCTCTGCTGCTGCGTTCGTCCAGCGACTCCAGACAACTGACAGCTTGAGTAAATGGCTAGACCCCGATTATAAGACGACCCCACATTTTCACATTGTTTTCAACAAAAAAAAACCTTGTCTTATATTCGGGCCAATACGGTATATATAGCATTTTAATAAGTAAGACTTTTATAAAATGTCTTGCATAAAGAAGAAATAGAAATATGTATTGAGAATCTGAAAAAATGCAACCTCTTACATTTGATCTGGGCTTAAATCTGCTGTTTTGCTCTCCCGATGATGTCATCAACAAAATGGCAGAGGAAGAGCGCAAAAATAGAGTGCAGTAAGAAAACGGCTTTTTGAAGTTTAGAGTTCCTTTCATTTGTGCACTTATCACAGACTTTTGTTGTTCATAATTTTTCAAAAGATCAATTTTTGATAAAAAAAAAAAAAAAAAAAAAATTAATACTTATTTGTGCATACTTTTAGGTGTAAACTTTGAGGTTAGAAAAAAAAAGTTGGGTTGAGGCACCCAAATGACCTTTATAAAATCTCCAGTTTTTTAGCATAGAGAGTAGTCACAGTGCCGACTCCTCCCCTGTGTTAATAGCCCCAGTGTAAATAGGCACGGGAACTAGAATGACAAGCATTATTGACAGTGGATGAAACACTTCATATTTCAACGTCTGTAATTCAGTAGAAGTTAGCTTTTGCTTGATCTGTCCACAGTTGTCATTTGACCTGTGCTTAGTGAGTTAGTGATTCTGTTGGTTATGATGATTGTGATTTTTTGTCTGGTTCTTCCCAATAATGTCTTCTCTCAGATTTAAGTTCACTTCTCTGTCAGTATCAACCGCTTTCTTCTTTCACATGATTAATTATCTCCATGAGAAGGATGTGTTAATTCAGAATTAGTCCATATTCTTTATAAGGGTTTGGGTATGGGTCACTCACAGACTGGAAATGCACACTCAACTTGCGAGGTGTGGTTACTGTTTTGGCTGAATATGATTGGTAGATTATCTGCTTGAATTGTCAAGGGAGATGTGAGGGCTGTCTCATTTCCTGCCACTGTGGGACCAGGCTAAGTCTTCTTTATCAGAATAACTCTCGATCATGGCCAGGCATGGCCTTTGTGTGTCCCTGCCAAAGCTATAACTCTCAGATGAGGATGGAGGGCAAAATGCAGACTGTCACTTTCTCATTAGAGACCTCTAAGAAAATAACTCTGGTTTCTGTCAGGCACTGTCTCCTTTTTATGTTTTTGTGCAAGCTCTGGTAAGTAAGTATTGTTTTAGAGGTTTTTGAAACACAGAAATATACTGACATTGCAATAAGAATTCATAATCACAAAGAAAGGAACTCTTAGGGCACAGTAGATTTTGTATTGAATCATCCAAACAATATGAATTTTACATTAAAAATAATAAATACCAACACATTCACTATAAAAGATCAGATCTAGACATTTGTCAACAGTTTTGATGCGAAGGTTTGTTGGAGCCTTGTGCCTTACTCTAACAGTGTGACACAACTGTCTGTCTCCATAAAACACTGTATGACTGAATCAGTGTCTCTGACAGCTTTTTTTTTTTGTTGATTTTTTGAGTTCATTTTGTCTAAATGCTGGTATTCTTGGATGTTTGATTTGATTATTTGGATTTTCTGACAACTTCATTTTTTATTCATTTATTTTATTTTTTTTTAATGTTGGGAGAGGCCATGAACTAAATTTTAGTAATGATAAGCTTATTTCCTTCATTGCAGCAAAGACATCATACAAGCCTTAAGTAACAAACTAAATCAAACTGAGCTAAACATACACTTTGAGTGTTCCCTGACTCTGAAAGACTCACTTTAACCACACTTGATAGCATTTGCTAGCAAAGCAACATTAAGCTACAAACAACCCATAATGCAACACTGTAGAAGACTGTGGCTATGTTAGGAAAAACCAAAAACTACGAGTACTAGTGCAGAACGTAGTGCGTAGTATGACGTAGTATGCGCTATTACAGTAGTACATACATATGGCCACTTATGCATACATCGATCGTCAGTAGTATGCAGTAGGCATTTCAAAACCAGCCTGGCTGTGTCTCAATACTCAAGTACAGGAGAACCCATCGCCGTTGATGTGCAATTGGGACAGCAGAGTACTCGATGACGTCACCACCTCGGCTCATCTACTCTGATTATCTTTACCGTGAAAAGCAACGAAATGAAATGAAATACAATAACACAGCTCTGCTTATTTACATTTTAATATATATATATAAATATGTATACATGTTGAGGTTTCTAGAGTCATTATGCAATCTTTATTGAATCCGTTAATTTGTTGACAGCAGTGTCAGATCAACAGGTCATCATGTTGGAGGAAAATGTAATTGTGGCTTCAGCAGTTCATATCAGACAATTCATCTTTGGAATACAGCTGAAAATCTTCAATTGCAAAAATACTTAAATAGACAAGAACCATATATAATAAATACAACAATTAATAAACAGGGCCATTTTGATAAGATTTCATTTTATAACAGGACAAAAATCCTGTTATCACAAAACATATCACACATGAAAAACAATGTACCTCTCCTCCTGATGTTCTTCAGTGGAGCTGGAAACAGCATTCTACTGAAGATGCTCCATGACAAGGTCCAGGATGGAGCTGCTCATGTTCTGGGGAGTCTCCCAGCAGTCAGGGAGGACATTTATCCAGCTGGTCCTCCAGTAGAACCTTGCTTAAATGTTAATGCACAGTAACAGTCATAAAAATAGAACAAGGCTGAACGACAGGTAATGAAAGCAAGAAAATAATTCAGACGTACTGAGGCAGCGATCGAGTACAACACTAAATAAAAATATAAGTTCCAACATTAACTTTAACTTCTTTTAAATCGATTGTGAGCAATGAACAAATTACACTGTGAGGACAAAGTGTGACCACTAAACTACATATATCCCTGTTTAACCACTACAGAACCTTCAAAGTCAGCGGCATACTTCAGAAAGCCTTGCCAACATCAGGCTGCTCTCGGCGGCTACTGTGAGCGCTGACTGCCGTCATAGCTGTCAAACCAGCAACAATTTTGGAGATGTGAGCGTCCTGGTTTGACTGTCACCGTCAGATAAACATAAAGCTACGTATATCCCTGTTTAACCACCATGGAACCGTCAGAGCCAGCGGCAGACTTCAGAAAGTCTTGCCGACATCAGGTAGCTCTCGGCGGCTACTGTGAGCGCTGACTGCCTTCACAGCTGTCAAACCAGGACGCTCACATCTCTGAATTTTAAGCAGGCTTTAGCTTGATAAAATGATCACCTATTTGATGTTTATACCACTACTTTCTCGCCTAAAATAATCATAAAACCACAGTTTGTGTCACAATGACAATCGTATTTACAAAAAAACTTGTGTTACAATTGAAAGTTTTCACCTCGGCTTTTGCTGCTAGTTGGCACAAAATGCATTCTGGGATACTTGACTGTCTGAAGTCCACACAAATCCGGTCTAATGCAGACTCGATAATGTGGGCAGAGTGAGAACACATCCAGGCATTTCATCCATACTTGGTCAGATGTGCACTTAGAACTGGGACAGTTCTTGGTCTCTGTCTGATGACGTTTCACAAGTCCGCAAGAACGCAAGTACGGACAAATACGCATATTGAGACACGGCTCCTGTGTTACACTTTCAGTCAAAAAGAACATTGGAATAACACAGCATCCACTTCTATTTTGGCCTACACAATGTTTTTTCTCTCCAGACCTGTGAAGAACCCACAGTTTGTTTTTTTGTTTTTTTTTTTAACAATTGGTTTAAACACTGCATCGAAACATTCCGTCTTACAAGGGTAAAGATAGGAATCGAGTGTTTCTGTGCATAGCTTAGTTTCTATCTATCTGACTACTAATAATATTTACATTGAAATTAAGATAACACATCAATTTGTATTTGAATACATTTAAGTATATGGTCTAAAGGTAGCTTAACCCCTGTACTACCCTCACACTGCGTCAGCTTCACACTGCTAGACAGCCAGTTAACATGTTCGAGCTATGTTCAATAAACACACAAGGCTTGCTTTCCTTGGCATTTACTGTTCTTTTGTAGCTTTCGAACGTCTTGTAAAACTGAAAATACAGAGAAAATAAAATAAATACACAATCACACCACATAAACATGAAACAAAACATACAGCTGCCATGTTGCATGAACACGAACAACATTTAACCACAGCTAATAAACCTTTAGCTAAAGCTAGCTGCACGGGGTAGCTGCTAACGGCTCTTATCACAAGCGGAGTGACAGAAACAGAAACGTCTGCTCTAAAACACATATGTAGTGTATTTCATGCTTGTGCACACTTTTACTTACAGACAAATATTTTCCAAGGCAAAAGCATGTATGAACAATTTAGAGATGCCGTGAAGCTCCGTTGTGCTACTGATAGCCGTTACAAGTCCAACTCTCTTCACAGAGACGATGGAGAATCAAAGATAGTTCACAATGTATTGGTGGCTCAATCTGCCGCAAATTCAAAAACCAAATACAACGCACAGAGTGCTCACTCTGACAGATTTTCAAAGAACTACAAAAAACAACTTTTTAACTTTTTAATCCTACTTTTTAACTTAACTTATGTTTTTAATCAACTTACACACATCAACTTCAAAGACAGCACAACCCCAAATCATATGAAAGTTAAAAAATTAAATGTCATCTGCAGAGATCTCCTAAGCTAGTTACCTTTAGTGGGAGTCTAGCTGTGTTTTTTCTGCTTCTCCATCATGAACTGATTAAGCAGTTGTCCTGTTTAATCATGTTTATTAGCAAACTGAAAAAGCACACATGCTAAATGTGGGCAGTCTACGCTGAATACTCGGCCTGAATGCCTCCTGTGTAACTATTCAGTTTTGATCA